CAATTCCCTCCCTCCTCAGTGGACTGTTTTTTGAGACAGCCTGTTTCCCAAAACAGCCTGTCTCCTTGAGCAAACGGTCCTAAGAAGAGATCATAAACCCCCTGTCTCTCACGATAAACCAAGGCAAACAGTGCCAGGAAGAAAGGGGCCATAAGGGGGCCATGAACGTCTCAAGAGTGCCCCTGATCATATAGCCAGTCAGCCACAGCTATGTAATATATAAGCCCCACCAGCCCCTTCCCAGGGGCAGCAGTCAATTCCAGCATGCCAGAAGGCTTCTGCCCCTCCCTGAGGCTACTGGCCCTCCTTGAGGTGCTTCAATAAACTCAGTCTTGTCTGAGGTCAGGACATCAGGTACGGCCTCCTGCTTTCTCTCCTATTATTCCTGCATTCTGTGCGTCCCTATACCTAACAAAAAGGAGAGCATGGGGAGGTGGTCCAGAGAAAGCAGGATGTTTCACAGCCAGGCTGTCTGGACTCCAGTCTCAGCCCTGGCTCTCTGCCCATTCGCCCTTTCAGACGAGGTACAGTGAATGACAGATGGGGAGAGCTGGGCAGGCTGATAGGAACCTCAATGGTAGCACCTTTTGCTTATTCAGCAGATTGATGCAAGGAAACTGGAGAAGGATAGAAACCAATGAGGTGGTCCATATTTAAAATCGCTGCCCAGCCATGACGAGCCAGCAACATTCATGAGTCAATGTGATATAAAGTCATGGCCAGCAACCATTCAGCGCCCCCTCACTGTATTAAAAGTTGAATATGAATTTTCTGTGAGCTGATGAATATCATCACCCCAACTCTAGAGCAAGAAAAGTCACAACTGGATCAGAATTAGTGCCTAGAGCCACATTTGGCAACCACTAAGCCAGCCATTTGTATACAGGAGAAAGAACAGCAGTCTCACTGACTGGACTCAGGCCCAGTCTCCTCACTAACACATGGTTTTCTCTTGTCCCTTGCAGCCCTGTGAGTTGAAAATTCAAAAGGTAAGAAGAAAATGGAAAGGAATGGAAGGAGGCGGAGCGGGCACCCAGGTCTGCTCTGTCCCTGGCTGGCACTTGTACCCATTTGGTGTATCTTAACTTCTTCTGTCTGATTTTCTTCTTTAAATGGATGGTATCTTTCCATGCTTCATAAGAAGAGCTATGAATTGAATCAAATAGTAAGTGCACAGCTGGTCTCCATGGGTTCTAGATAGAATACTCTTGTTGTCTGCAAGGATCTTGATCATGAAATTCAACTGGGGATATGTGGGTGATCTTGTTCTTTTAGCAATATTAGATATATCTCTTATTTATTTTCTCTTAATTTTTAAATTTTTATTGAATTTTTGCAGTTTCCACACAATTTGTTTTGATGGTATTTGGATCCCCTCCACTAACACTAACTCCACACCTCCCTTACTGTCCAATTAAATGTATTCTACTCTGTGTGTGTATGTGTTTAAAAGCTTACAAGGTCTAATTTGTGTCCCCATGTGTCCTTCAGTGTGGGGCCAACCATTGGAGCCTGATTAACTTACCAAGAGTCACCTCTTTGAAAGAGACTGACTCTCTCCATTCCCGGTAGCCATCAGTTGCCAGTAGTTCCTCAGGTAGGGCTTGGGTTCCCCATGTCTATACTGGGATTTTGTCTAGTTTGAATTCGCATGGGACTTGAGTATGCTGTCACTGTTGCTGTGAGTTCATACGAATAAAGACCAGTTCCTTGTCATCATCCACCACCTTTGGCTCTTACAATCTCTATGCCCCCTCCGCTGCAATGCTCCCTGAGCCTCGGGAGGCAGAAGTTTGATATATGTGCTCTATTCAGGGATAAGCACTCTGCAGTCTCTTGTTCTGCATACATTGGGCAACTGTAGGTTTCTATGTTAATCACCATCTGCTGCATAAGGAAACTTCTCTGGTGATCATTGAAAGATGCATTAATCTCACTCAGGATGATTAAGTCATCCTTTATTTTTTAAAAAAATTGTAGGTATTCAAGTCATACCATGTCATGATTTAATACACATACCCCAGTGAAATGATCACTATAGGCTAACTA